TTTTTTGTTTAAAACAAAATAATAAATATACACTTAGAAATAATATATATATATATATATATATATATATATATATATATATATATATATATATATATATATATACATATATATATATATATATACATATATATATATATATATACATATATATACAAGGCCGCTGCGTGGGGAGGGTCACTGGGTACTTTTTACCTGGGTGCAGGATCAGAAGGGGCGCACAAATAAAAACTTTTTTTTTTTTAATTATAAAACAAGTACACAGGGCTTTAATGAAAAACTCTTTAAATTCGTAATTTAAAAATGAATTGTTTACTCAACAATACAGCATTAGCCGAATTCATCATATTCGGGAGTCTGACACTAGCCAAAACTGTTGCGGAAAATACTTTCAAGGGCTGCTAGGTTAAAAAAGAACATATATAATCAAAATGTATATATATATATATATATATATATATATATATATATATATATATATATATATATATATATATATATATATATATATATATATATATATATATATATATATATATATATATATATATATATGATGGTATAAATCAGTAAGATCTTATTTCAGTAACTTTGTTTGTGTTTGTGAAAGTAATTTAACTACTATGACAACAAATGTAAACAAATAAATAAAAATGTGGCGGTGGGAGTATTGGTATTTGGACTGTAATTTTAATGAATTAGGAATGTGCAACATTTATACAGGTTGATTCAACCAACATACATATATAGAGACACTACAGATTTGCATGGTTCCATCAGTGGACATGATGATTGATCGAAACGAATAGTGGCATTTTCAACAAGATTTTCCACGTGCCTACACAGCTTGTAAAGTATGGATGTAAAATTAAAGTAGATTTATTGTTCTAGCCAGGTCGATCACCATATTTCAATCTAATTGAATCTATTTGGGCTTGGATGGAAAAGGAATTAGTCAAGATGTAAATACTATCCATAAAAACTCTAAAGCAATAACTAGATACCATTTGGAGAAGACTTCCAAATGAAATCTGCAACAATATTCTTAAATCGATGCAAAAAAGATGTGCTGCTTGCGATAAAGCTGGGGGATATTATAAATACTAGCTACTTGATGTTATAGTTATTATACTTAATACTAAATTATTTCATGTTATTTTTGTTGCTTTAGTTTTTTATGTATTGTTTTATTTATTTATTTTTTGATATTTTTTTATTGTTATGTTTGATAACGTTTTTATATACAGTTTTATGTTTTAGTATGCCAACCAAGATGCAAGAACTCAGAACTGATTTTTGATAACATAATGGTTCTAAATACGATTTTGGACTGCAATAAACAAAAAATTACCCGACTTCGGTTTATTGATCAGAGATGTTTCTGAGTTGCGCCACGGCTGCTTATTGATTCTGGGTCTTCTATAAAATAGTTTTCAAAGTTTGGCTTAAATCAATGTTAAAATGTTTTGTCCGTAAAAAAATTTGAAAAAATGAATCTATGCCCACCTATTATCAGTTTAGTTGTTCGATATTGATAATAAGATAATAAAAATGAGATGCTGAGTAATGAAATGCTTTTAAAGAGCAAAAATTTACCATATCTTTTTCATTGAAAGGGCATATTTGTGCTACCCTTGACACCCCAGTCAAAAGGGAAGGAGTAGCAGTTGCTAGCCTTTCCGGCGTGCCCGACTAGACCGCATTTAGTCTACTGAACATTTAATTTTTTTTATTTCTATCAATAATGTAAAATATGTATTATAAGTATATTTTAAATGATATACTTTTTTTTCAATTTAATTAACCTTAAAATTAAAGAAGTTACAAATTTATCTATAGTTTTACAAAATTAGGTTCGGTATCACTCAATTTTTAACTAGTCATTTGAATGACATCTTATTAGAATACGAAGTCCGCGGGTACAGTAAGGTTTACATAATAGAAATTTTATTTGTACACAATAAAATGTTTATATACCTTAATTTTTTGCGTCATCAATATATTGATGTAGTGCTGTGGATGTTTAGACCTTCTTCTTTTGAGGCGCGATTGTAAGGGTTACGGGTTTAAATCCTTTTTGGGAGACTTTTTAAATAAGGATTCACACTGTGAAGTGTTTATACATCGACAGACTTAAATAAGCATTAGCACAGTAGCGTGTGTGGACTTTTTGGTACCTTCAGACCCCTGTATAAAAAATAGATGAGCTTTGGTTTGAAAGTAACTGAAAAGTTGTTGGTATTGTTTAATTTTTGAAAACAATCACCCACTATGATCCTTGATTACTTGCTGGGTCCCATATAAGTATATTGACCTGGGTCTCAAAAGAACCAGTATTTCATAGAGATTTCAGAAATAATAATTTTAAATAAAAATTAACCGCTAAAATTTAATATACCAAAAAACAACAGTTCTATGAAAAGATTGCGATGACGTTCTGTCATCCTCATCTTCTTTGAGTCCCTATCTGTTTTACTTATTTTTTTAAATTTTATATTATGCAGTAGAATCTGTAAATTCTTATGTTATGTAAACAGAGAAAAAAAGAAAAAAAAAACAAAAAAACAATTTTTAACTAAAAACAGAAAAGGTCGTTTTTTATGACATTTTATAGCAATATTTAAAAAAAATGTTTTAATAGAAAATATTATGATCTTCAAAATCACTATTAAAATGAATTTTTTTAAAAAATAATAAAACTAATGACTTTTCAGTTACTTTTAAAACAAAGTTCATCTCTATATATAGGAAACTGGAGATACAAAAATATTTACAAAAAAGTCAACATCCGAGTGTACATGTATCGACTGACTTATATAACGCAGTGAAAAGTTTTTAATTTTCACTTAAATTAAGTTTATAAATAAATTTATTTTGTTTAAAAAATTATTAGGTTAAGTTAAACAAGAGCTTCTGGTGAATTCGGCAAAGTAATTAATATTAACCCGTTAATATTAATTACTAATATAAAATTTAGTTTAGTAATAACTTTTGTACAAAAGTTATTACTAAACTAAATTTTAAATATGACAAATAAGGTAGTTCTTTCAGTGCAAAAAAAATTATCAAAAAGTAAATATTTACTCACGAAAAGATAAAATTTTATACATTTGATGAACCAATAATGAAAAGATATATTTAATGAATGATTATTGGAAATGATAATAAAAGATTAATGCTCAAAAATGGTGTGCGGTATGTTACAAACACAATATTCAAAAAGGTTCAGGATATGAATATGTAGAACGTGATGTAGGACTTTTTGCAGCTCCTTGGTTTTTACACTTATCATACAAAAAGTGAATATTAGAGAATGCATTTTTAAAATTTTATGTTTATGTAATATGATTTATATATTCTTAAACTTGAATAATAACATTTTGTAGTGTTTATTAATGTTAAAAATAGTAAAAAACATTTTTTATTCTATTAGTTAAAAAACACGATGAATTTAAAAAAAAGCTGGACTAATCGCGACCGTTTTTTTAAAAAAAACACGTAACTGTTAAAGGGTTAACCGCTTTAAATACGCGCGCAAGAAAAAACTAGTTTATACGCGCGTAAATGGTCTAAAGAACTTAACAATCTCTGCGAAACCGCCACCACGCAACCACAAGCTGCTTATTCAGCTTTTATTAAAGGGTACAGATCTAAATTCACTTACTTCTTACGCACAATTGAAGCTTTTGAAAATTTCGTAACACCAGTGGAAAAAATTTTATCAGAAAAATTATTACCTGTATTGTTTGGAACTGATTGTTCTATAATCAGAGAAAGTAGGGATTTATTGGCGCTAAATCCATCGGAAGGAGGACTTGGAATTTGTAACTTAACAACTAAGGCCAAGGAACAGCATACTGCCTCTAAGAAAATAACTAACTTGCACATAAAATCAATACTCGATCAGTCAGATGTTATGAAAGAAAAAGATGATTTCGGGAAAACATTTTCAGAAATAAAAACAAAAACAAATATGGATTAATCTAAAAAAAAAAAAGAAGAGGTTAAAAAAATACATGCAGGACTTCCAGAAAACCTTAAACTTCTGTTTGAACAGGCCTGTGACAATGGTGCCAGCAGCTGGTTAAACACCTTACCAATTAAAGAACAACATCTAGATCTGAATAAGGAGGAGTTTAAAGACGCACTTAGATTGAGATATAATGTGCCACTTGCCAATTTACCATCTTACTGTGCTTGTGGAGAAAAATTTGACGAGCTACACGCAATGTCATGCAAAAAAGGTGGCTTTGTTTGTAACAGACATGATAACATCAGAGATTTATTAACTGTTTGCCTAAATAAAGTTTGTATTGATGTTCAAGCGGAGCCGCATTTAATTCCATTGACAAATGAAAAATTTAATTTCAAAACTGCCAATACCAACGACGAAGCTAGATTGGATATAAAAGCAAAAGGGTTTTGGAGAAAAGGAAAAAACTGCATTTTTTGATGTTAAAGTAACGCACGTAAACTCCAAATCCTCTAAAAAACTACCAACAAAACACATTCCGTAGGCATAAAGATGCAAAAAAAACGTGAGTATTTAGAACGAGTTCTAGAGGTTGAACACGGGACATTTACCCCATTAATTTTAGGTACGAATAGTGGGTTTGGAGACGAATGCAAACGCTTCACGGCACTACTCACACAAAAACTGTCCTTAAAAATGGGTGAGCGGTACGGAGCTGTAATAAATTGGCTAAGGACACGTCTTTCCATTAGAGCCATTATTCCACTAGAGCTTCTCTACTCTGCTTAAGAGGGTCACGAACCCCATTTAGGCATTATAACACTGACGATGTTGGCCTGGAAAATGTCCAATGTGGACTTATTTAACTTGTATTTTTAAATTGTTTTATTAATTTAATTATTCTTGAATGCAGATACGTTTATACGCGCGTTGAAATTATCTTTTTTTTCTCATTTGTACGCGCGTGCAAATAATGCCTACCAATAAAATAAACAAATAAAACAAATAACAAACACCAAAAAGTAATTATCTAGATACAAAATTAAAAAAATGTATCAAATAAATGAAAAACAATAATATTAAAACAAAATGAGAGATAAACAACGCAAAAAAAGGAAAGAGTGAATGAGATGACATGAGGGATTATGAATGAATGGAGGTAACACAACGGTTTAACGATTAGAAGGGTTATAGAAAATAAAAAAGGAAACTAAAGGATATATTTATAAATATGAAACAAGACAAAAAGTATGAAATCATTTGAATAATAGCAACAAATATAAAAAAATTAAAACATAGTTTGTAACAACACCACAAAAAATACACGACAATATAAAGAATAAACAAAAGTACACGCTAATATACTATATTAACGTACACTTTTGTCTATTTTTGATATTGTTTATATTGTCGTGTCTTTCTGTGCATCATTTTTTATATACGATGCACAAAAATACACGACAATATAATCAATACGCAGAAATAATGTAATACAAAATGTAAACAATGCGAACAACTTAAGTTAATAAAACTTAAAACATTGTTCTTTTTGTTTTTTTATATAGTAAATTTTTCAATTACCATATATTATATATTATCCATACTGTTTTAAATCTATATTAATGTTTCATAAAAATATTGAATAAGGATAAATAAATAAAATTATCCATAAACAGATTTTTCAATTTAATATTATATATATATATATATATATATATATATACATATATATATATATATATATATATATATATATATATATATATATATATATATATATATATATATATATATATATATATATATATATATATATATATATATATATATATATATACATACATACATACATACATATATATATATATATATATATATATATATATATATATATATATATATATATATATATATATATATATATATATATATATATATATATACTTTAGAGATGGTTGATGTAAAAGTTGAACTTAAGTTAACAAGAGAATCAATAAATAAAAAAGACTACAAAGCTGCATTGGTTCACTGCAAAGTATTTTAAGTTTTTATTCTTTGTTATGCAATGATGTTTTTCAATTCTAGATGTAAAGTTGTTTGTATATTAGTAGCTAATTAAAAGTAAACTATTACTAATGTTTATGTATTAGCAATTTAAAAAAGTCTTTTTTTAAACAATTGTTGTATGAGTTTTTTTTATTAAATTATTGATAATGGTGCTATCAAAAGACTACAGAGATTAAGATTTCTTTGAACTCTTTTATATTTTCACAAGTTTTAGAATGGGGAGGTTAATGAGTTTAAAATATAGATGTTATAAGATAATGATCAAATAAATTGCAAGGATTATTGATCTTGACAAACTTTTAAATTCAGTGTTTATAATAGTTGTGCTTGATGGTTTAATCTCCTTTTCCAGTAACATTTGAATAGCACAAAATTTCATCCTTGGTTCCATACTGTTTTTTATATATATTAATGATATTTTAGAGAATCATGCCTATAATTGCTGTTACTTCTAATTCTGCAAAGTTTCATCTGCAACTGTTTTTTCATGTTTAAAAAACTTTCATTCATTTTTTTTTTCTTTATGTTTTTTAAAAGCATGTTTTTACAAATAGGTTTTTTGTCAACTATTATCTTACTTTTTAAATTTATTTTTTATTTTCAGCCTTATTGAAAATGTTGTTATAATATAACCTTTTAATCATAAAATATTATCTAGGAATTAATAATGGGAGATAAAACATCATTTTCTTAATGTTGTTGCTAACAAACTATATAATACCTATGGTACAAAACCTTAAAAATTAGGATGTTAAAATTTGTCAAACACACAAAAAAAAAAAGGACATTTGCCATTTATGTTAGAATCAATATGTTACAGATTTTTTGCAGAAAAATCTATAACGTTTATTGTTCTTTATGGTTATAAAACTACTTTAATTGAAAATATAGTTTTCTAATTATAATTCTTATTTACAGGTTGTATTATTAGTTTTTGTGGTACAACATTACAAAAATTTGTTATTAACAGTAAAGTGTCAATGATTCTGTCTTTCCACCTGGGTAGGGATGCCTAAAAATGGTGGATGGGGATGTTACAATAGATTTGTTATTGAACATTCAATTATAAATATTATACTAGTTTGCTTTTAATAACAAAAATATTTAAATTAATAAAAAAAAAAAAAAAAGAAGAAAAGGTTTATACAAGAAAAAACCTGAGTTAAAGTGGCTTATAAAACATTTATTGATTGACTTTAAACTGAAAATAAGACTCAAATTTTATTGTATAACTTTTTTCAGGAGTTTTTTAAGAAATAAGTTTTTTAATAAGTATTTTTTTTTTTTTTTTGCACAAGGTATAATTTTTATATTTTATTTTTTTATTTTTTTTTTGGATTTTATATCAAAGTTTGCACATGCATCAAATTATGCACATTCCAAGAAGTTACACAATTTGTTCTATTTTTTTATTTTGTTATTTTTAATTATTCACCTCCCCATAGCTGAGAAGGCCACTACAGTCGAGGGGGCTACTTTTTTGTGGTTACAACCCTCTCTCAACTCTATAACTCTTAAACGCAAACCTCGATGAACAAGGCCACTGCACAGAGAAATAAGTTGAGCGTGGTATTACCAGGGATGTGGTGGGGATCAAACTCAAAACTTCTCGCTTATGAGGTGAGCGCTCTACCACTACCACATTTTATCAACATTCAATTTTGACAACATTTTAACTATTTTTAACTTAACAACAGTAAATTAAACAAAAGAGTTTTGTTTAATTTCAGAAATACAAGTTAAAAAATATTTAAAAAAAACTTTAAATGTTTATTCAAAGGGCCTATCTAGTTTAAAAAAAAAATCCTTAATAAGGGAAGTTTGTACCTAGAGTTAGTATCTAGAGCCAGTTTTTTTTAATACCCAAATTCAAGACACTAGATTTGTCTAAAAATGGTGAAACTGATATGACCACATCTCTTTACTAATTACTTTTTATTAGTATAAATGCAATGACTTAAATAATAAAAGTCCGTCATGTAGAAGGATTTAAAAATTAGTGGCCCCATGTATAATAATTTTTTTTTATTGTAACTAGGACTGCTTTTTGAAAATTAGGTTTAACTTTATGTTTGTTTGTGTTCTGTTTATACTCTAATTCAGCGTGAGCTCAGTAACTAACTACTTACTCCAACTACAAAACCTACACTCACCTTAGACTCCTGTATTTTGTTAGATGCAGTGTTTTTCCTAATGCACTTCCAAAATGTCATGTCTGGTTTTCTCAAAGTACTGTTGCGGGAAGTAACTCCTTTTAACTACTCCAGGTCAGGTCAAGATAATCAAGATCAATCTTGCTACTGGTATCACATAACCCAGTACCACCTGCCACAAGCCCTGCTGCCTTGCAGAGTGAGCTCTTCTTAGGCAAAGGCTAGGAGAAATAAACTCCGACTAAAAATTACCCTGCCTTGGGGCTCTTGGTTAAGTAAAGGCTAGAGATAGTGTCTCGATAAAAACACTCATCTTGGACAGATGTTAACTGCATCCAGCTAAACATCCCCTGCCCTAGGGCTCTTGGTTGAGTAAAGGCTAGAGATTGTGTCTTGATAAAAATACTCATCTTGGGCAGATGTTAACTGCATCCAGCTACTGTCTTGTAGAAGGCCTCCTAAGCAAAGACTTTAGGGGTAAGCAGAAAAATTCTGCTAACCAGCCTCAAACCTCTTCTTCATCTATTAGGCTGGCGTAGATGTAACCTGTGTTAAATTGTTTCCTGCCTAGGATGATGAATGCTGGATCTCCTTGACTCTACTCATAGAATTTTGCTTATGCCTCCTTGATAATGGCTATGAAACTCTTCCTGTTATCTTCATATGAGGGTACAGCTCTAAAACTCAGTTTAATGGTTCTGAGGCCGGCTGGTAGTAAGGTTTCCCGAACTCTGTTGTAGCTCTCAGAGAGGCTGATTCCATCAACAGCTGCAAAATATCAGAGTATTAACAATGCCATGTTGCGCATGGATGGTGTCCCTGTTAATGCTTTTGGTGTGCATTGTCAAGGCCACATAAGGAGCCCTATGTCACAGCTTAGGGTTAATTAACAAGGCTGAGACAACTGCATAGCTCATTGATTAGGAGGCTGTGCTCTATCTATGAATGAGTCAAGTTCTCATTAAACACAAATCATGACCAAAGTAACCAAAAATTTAAAAATTAAAAAACCATCCCCACCCCCTTAATATTTTAATATATCTTTTACAAATATTCGTGGTCTACGAAGCAACTTTTCATCAGTTGAGTCTTACCTCCTGCAAAATTCACCAGACTTGCTTTCACTCAGTGAAACAAATTTAAATTCTGCAATTCCTTCTTCAGATGTCAGTGTTGATGGGTACTATCCTTTGATTCGTAAAGACTCCATTAGTCACATGCTTGGTTTAGGGGTATACATACGCATTAATTCCCCTATTTGTCGTGAAATCAGGTTCGAATCCTTTGACCATTCTTTTATGTGCTTTCGCCTAGCACCTCTTCACTCTATCACCTTTCTCTTTGTTCTTTATCGTTCTCCTTCTTCCCATGATTGCACTCTTTTAGATGTTATCTCTGATCAAATTGACCATGCCCTCTCTCTTTACCCCTCTGCCAATATTGTTGTTGTTGGTGATTTTAATGCCCATCACACTGAATGGCTTGGCTCTAACATCACTGATCCTACTGGCACTAAAGCCTTTAACTTCTGCGTTTCTCAATCTCTTACTCAGATAGTTAACTTTGTGACTCGTTTTCCTGACAACCCTAATCATTTACCTTCACTCCTTGACTTATGTCTTGTCTCTGACCCTAGCTTATTTTCAGTTCCTCCCTTTTCTGCCTTAGGTGGTTCTGACCATGCAATGATCTCTATAAATCTTTCTTCTTGTACTTCTTTTTTGGGCTCACCTTATCATCGCACCACCTACTACTACCCTAAAGCTGACTGGGATTCCTTTCGTGATTTTCTTCGTGATGGTCCTTGGGCTGATGTTTTTTCTCTCTCAGCTGACAAATGCGCCTCCTACGTAATCTCCTGGATTCAGGCTGGAATGAAAGCTTTTATATTCCTTCTTGTTGGTTTCAAGTCAAGCCTCATTCTACTCCATGGTTTTCTCATTCCTGCCAATCATCCTAAAGTCACATTAAAACTTTTTATATAGCATCAACAATTCACAACAAAAGCACTTACAGAGAGATACCGTTCTTTTGCAATATGGCACTGCTAATATTATGATATTTTACTAGTGTCAATGAAATCAGCTTTTGAAAGCTACCACAGAGTTCAGGAAACCTTACTACAGTAAGAATCATTAAACTGAGTTTTGGAGCTTACTCTATTTAGGAGATAACAGAAATAGATGCAAAGCCATTACTGATAAGGCACAAGCAACAACCAATGAGTTGAGTCAGAGAGAACTACTCATAATAATTTTTAAGTCAGGGTTGTCTAAATTGAAACACTTAAAGATCTAAGTGCTTTTTTACTGAGAATGCAGAGCTATGTTGATTTTGACTTCATATATTATTTGATTTGCATTGCTAAAAGTTATAAACTTGGCATATAATATGATCTATTAAATGCAGAATAAATTTTTTTTTATATTCTTTTTAAATAATAAACCAAGTTTAAAATACTATTATTTCTTTTTTTGTTTTGTTTTAGATTCTTTTTAACAATAAACCAAGTTTAAAAATACAATTATAATTTTAACTTTTTTCATATTTTAGAATATTTTGAAACATGACAAGGAGAATTATAATGCTTTGGTCTTTTTTGGTGTTAGTGCTACAGAGTTAAAAGAGTTTGAACAAGCAAGAAAAGCTTATGATAAAGCTATTACTATTAATGACAAATTACCACTTGCTTGGCAGGTTGACTTTTATTTAATAAATTCTTTATTTTTTTATAAAGTTTATATTTAAAGTGTTTTTTTGTTGTTGTTTTTTGTTTTGTTTTAAAGTCTAACTTCCATGCTTCCACATGGTTTGAACAGGTTTTCATAATGCTATTTTCTTACTTCAATGATTTTATGGAAAGAGTTAAAGAAATTTTTTTATAACTTGTTTGTCTTCTTGGCAGTAAACAGTTGTAGATCAGAGCTGAGTATTTTTATTGTGGTACTACTACTAGGATCATTCAAGGTTTAAGACCTCTTGCTACCCTAACTCACAATTAAATTAGAATTTTGTAGTGTTCCTTCTTAAAATAATTGGCTTTTACTACCATTAAGGAGCTCCCACATATGACCCAGGTTGTACTGGATAACAAGTTACCAGTAGTAGGCTGACCTTTTCTGACAGAACGACCTGATCTGACTGTACAAAATATATACAAAAGTAAAATATTATGAAGGAGTCATATTTTGCATATCATGTATGTCTTTTGTGTGTTGTCAAAGTCAATGTTTGTACAAGCTTGACATCCATTTTTTTCAACAATTTTTAAATCTGGTTTTTAGTAAGTAAACATTACCAGCTGTCGAGCCATCTATGTATCATCTACGTAAGTATCATGTTAGAGCCATCTACTAATATCATCTACGTAAATATCATGTTAGAGCCATCTACGTAAATATCAAATATCATGTAAGAATTCCTAAAAGATATGTATGTTTGCTGGCATATTTGTCAAATTCATGTCTTGCTCATCTGGTTCTTATGCTGGATTCATGTTATTTGTTTTTGGTATCTTTTATTACATGTTATTGGTATCTTTTGCTCTTGTAGCCAATCTGCGACTGGTTTATCATTGTGTAATGAAGCTAAATTAGCCAAAAATACATACCTACCATTGCTGTGATGTTGCTGTGAATGATTCTAACCACTTGAATTTACACTTTTTGGGGTACTCTTTTTAGTTGATACCCATTCTTCTTGGTCTAATATTGATTTTTCTCGCACCTTTCAGTATATATTGAGCCAAACCAAAATTTTTTACTTGTTTTTCTGTTGTAATTCAATTATGACAAAAAATTAGGAAGTTAAAAGTTATTAAATTTTTAATCTAATCATTTGAATAATACAAATTATTACATGTTTAGAACCAATAGCCTAATGTGAATAATAAATAACGTAAAAATGAATTTCTGTTTGATCTTTTTATTTTTTTATAGCCTAATATTGGTTTCTTAAAATTCTTCAATAATATTTAATAAGTTTAAAAACAGTTAAGCTAGAGCAACCATTTGCTCTAGCCATAAGCTAGAGCAAAATATCTTTGTTGATGTTCTCATTATAAAATTAGTTCAAATGTGGTTTTAAAGTTTGATAATTTTGTTGTTGTTGTTGTTTTTGTTGTTGTTGTTGTTGTTGATAAAAAAAATTTATAATTTTGTTGTTGCTTTTGTTGATAAGATTTATTTCCCAAAAAAAAGTCAAAGATATAATGTATCAATTATTAAAAAAATATAGTTTATTAAATAATGGTTTCTTTTTTTGTCCCAATTGTAATATGATATACATTCTTACTAACTTAATAAAACTGTAATTTTTATTTTTATTTTTTTTACTACCTCTGGCACAGAGAAATATGTGTTATTTGTAGAAGACCTATAGAAACAGGGGTGTAATAATGATATATCGTTATTATTTTCAGCATAACTAAAGTAACAGGAGAGTGAGATTGTTGCACATAGTTGTTGTTTGTAGCAGACCTAAGGTCTGCTACAAATAACAGTGGTGTGAGACTGTTTACTAGGGTACATTAGGGATAACCAAAATTCTAATTTAGTTCAATTAAAACCCTAAAAAAATTCTTTAGGCAAGCATTTTGTTTGGGTTTTCACTCAGTCTATCCATTAATTTATTAACAACTTTAATAATAAAACTTTTATAGCTATTTGTTTCTCAAATTTTTTATCAAAAAATTTGACAAACAAATAACTGTAAAAGTGTTTGTTGCTTATAAAAAATTATGTTTTCTTACTATTATAGAATGCTGGAAGTTACAACAATTATTACAACAATTAAAGTTTGCTTAATTAAAGTAAACTACATAATTAAACTCGCTTGGCGAGCTATTTCATAATTTGGCCAGCCATTCCAAAATGGCAAGCTATTCCTTAAATTGATTTCCATAAATTGAACAGCTATTACATAAACTGTATCTATTAAATAAAAAATTTTCACAACACACTTGCTTAGCGATTTCTTTAACATATTTAAAGCTGTGATCTTTCATTTTAGTTTGTTGAATACTAATTTTTTTTATTGTTTCCAAATCGTTAAAACCGTTGAAGAATTTAAAAAATTGAATTTTTTGTCAAAGTAGACAAGTCCTTTCTTTTTGTCAAAGTAGACAAGTCGAGAGCTTTTAGAGGATTCTCATAGTTAATGTTTTTAGGTGATGGTATTAATCAAGTTTCACGATGTTGGACTCTTTCTAATAAATTGATTTCTCCCTTTCGAATAGGTTACCAAACTGGTACTGCAAACTCTAACAGTGGTTGCACAAAATAAACATAAAGTATTCTCAGGAGTCTAATATCTAAACAAATAAAGCATTTTCTAATACAACCCAACATTTGGTTGGCTTTGCCTTCGCATTTTATTACATGATTTTTCTATTTCAAATTACTTGAGAGGATTACTTCAAGATCACTTTCAGATTCTCTTATGTTTGATTTTTGTTCATTGATATAAAGGGGTGATTTTTTGTTATTCTGGCCAAAGCGCATGACCATACATTTCGAAATATTAAATTTAACAAACCAGTCTTGAGTCCACCTAAAATAGAAATCATTATATTTTTTTTTGCTAAAATTGAGACGAATTTATATAGTTCATTATAACTAATGTATAAAATATATAATTCATTGCATAATATAAAAATTATTTGCAATAATTTAGTGCATCAAAATAATTTAGTGCATTAAAATAATTTAGTGCATTAAAATTATTTAGTGCATTAAAATTATATGCAATAATTTAGTGCATAAAAAATTTATATCATATATATGAGTTTGAGCAAAATATTATAACATCTAAAATGAATGTTTTACTTATTCAAATGTGTTTTTTTAATAGTGTTTAATATTATCAACTGAGTTTTAAATAATAGTGTTAATAGACATATTATTAACTAAGAAGAAGATTTTCAACAAAATATCATCAATTTATTTTTTCATAATGACATTTTTATGAGAAACTGATTTTCTACTTAAAAAACCAATCAGTTAGTTCAATCTAATTTAAAACATTTGCATTTCAATTTGCACTCCTTGTTTAATTTTTTTTTTTTTTTTGCAATAACCATTCCTTTAAAACAGCATAGCAGTTTATTATGCAATAACTGGTTTATTTCTAAAATAACTTTTTTTTATCATAGTTAGCATTAGTTATCATCAGCATTTTTTATCTTAGTTACAACAATAATCTTTTGTAAATAACTTTGCGAACTTGACCAATTAATCATTAATGTTATAGTGATATTGACTGTTACAAAAAAAATTGCATTTTGTAAGCGAAAAAGTCAATCTGAAACTCAAACTTTGTTTTTTTTATTTTTGTTGCTTGTGCAACAAATTTCATTTTTTATAATCAATACTAAAAAAAAGAAAGTGGTTTATATTTCATTTGAAATGAAATTTCACATGAAAATAAAAATCATGTGAAATGAAAGTGGTTTAAATTTCATTTTTTATAATCAATACCTAAATAAAGAAAGTGGTTTATATTCATGAAAAAATAACTTTTTGAGAGCCGTAAGTTGCTCCCGTAATCTACTTTAGGGGAGTGTAAGTTGCTCCCGTAATCTACTTTAGGGGAGTGTAAGT